TGGGCAGAGCCAGCGGGTAGCTCCATGGTGGGGGAAACGGCGACCGAGCCAGCCCTGCCCGGGGATCACCCAGGAATGTGGCACCTCCCAGGGCTGGCAGCCGGTGGGGATGGGCAATAGAGACAGGGCTGTGCCACCGGGATGATGCTCCTGCCTGGCCCAGGCGTGCAGCAGGAGAGATGGGGGGGATCCCAGGGGCAAAGTATGTCCCCCCGGCTGTGGCAAGTCCCGGCTGGCCCCACACAGAGCCCGCTGGCATGTTGGGACTAATGGTCGCTGTCCCTGCTGCCCACCCAGGGACAGCGGTCACCCCAGCACGGTGGAGACAGCGCTCCCCACTGCTGCTCACAGCTCCGTGTGCTCCCAGGATGGCTCATCCCACCTCTGTCCTGCTTGTGGGGACACACAGATAGGAGGGGGTCCCCACGCTACTGGCAAGCACACAGGCCACCCAGCCAGCCAGGACTGTGGCCGGGCACACACACAGGGACACACGGGGACACAAGGGCACACGTGGCTCAGATGGCACTGGCACACACGGCACGGGCTGCACACGCACACAGCACACACAACACAAACATGCCCACCACGGCCAGTTTGAACTGCACACGCACACACCCATGCACGCACACCCCCATGCACGCACACACACATACACGCACACACACATACACGCACACCAGCCGGCCCGGCAGAGCCTGCCCGAGGCCTCCTGCCCCTCCCAGGGACAGGCGCTCCCGGAAGGAGCTGGCAGGGAAAGTCCCGGTGCTCCGGTGCCTCCGTCCTTGCGCACACGCCGCAGCAGCACACCCACCCGCTGTCCCCCGTGGCACCAGCGCGATGCAGCCCGGGACAGGCAGCAGCCCCTGGGACAGCCCCCGCCACCGGTGCAGTCTGTAGCTCTATCCCAGTCACCCCAACCCAGCACGGAGCCCCCCTGGACAGCTCTGGCACTGTGTGATGGGGACCCAGGCACTTGTCCTGGTTCTGGTGAGGACGTGGGACCCGTGCTGTGACCCTGCAGCCCCAGAGCCTGGGCAGAGCCCACACACAGCCTCTGGCTCCCCTCTGGACCCATAGCCCCTGGCCATTCCTGTCCCCTGGCTGCCAGCCCAAGGTGTGGGGCTGAGTGGGCACCAGCTGGCTGGGAGGTGTGGGGCTGAGGGGCCAGTGGCACTGCAGGGCTATGGACCGTGTCTGGTCACAGAATGTCCCTCAGGAGCCAGCGATTGTTCCTGGAGGCAGAACAATGCCCGGAGAGGTGCCAGGGCACCATGGGCTGCTCCACCAGGGACTCACCTTCACTGCCTCAGCAGGGCCAGCCCACACTGGGATCCCCAGCCCCTCGCCCATCTGCCCTGTACCTGTGGCACAGAAGGGGAGGCTGCACCAGCTGCTCTTGTCTTGTGGCACGGCATGGCATGGCATAGCAAGGACCTCAGGGCTGCAGAGCCCAGCACCAAGCAGCAGCACCCTCCTGCCTCCTTGCACAGCTAGTCCAGCAGCAGCACTGGGGCAGGGGACGCTGGGGGCATTCATGCTCGGATGGAGTGTGCTGGGTGCTGGGGCAGGGACGGGGTCACTGGGACCAGCCTTCAGCCTGGCAGGATTTAAATCCCAGTCTGCACCTGAGCAGCAGCCCCTGCACCACCCGCCCCACACCGCCTGCCCCTCACCATGCGGCTGCTGTTGCTGGTCCTGCTCCTGGGTCTCTGCTGCCCCTGGGCCAGGCTGGTGTCCCCAGGTGAGCTTGGGAGCTGGTGGGATGGGGCTGCAGGAGGACGTGGCCTCACGGGTAGGAACCAGACTAGGAGTTTTGCCACCCGCTTGCCCAGAGCACCCCACCGTGGGGCTGATGGCTGCTCCCTAGCACGGTCCATGGGGAGGGCTGGGGACACGGTGGCTCCTGTCTCTTCCCAGGATTCACCTAGCTCCCACCTGGACCAGACCGAGGAGCCTGTGTGTGCAGCCACCCCCCACAGGACAGTCGGACATCTGGACAGCCACTCCTGGAGGGATCCATCAGCCACAGGATGAGCACCCATCCCCCCGACCCCACCACCACCCCCTTGTCCTCGGCTCCATAATGAGCATGAGGGTCTCTGTGCTCCCCACTCAGTAAACCCAGTCTGTGGTGAGTACTGGCTGGCTCCTGCTGTGTTGGTCTCCTGCCAAGCCCCCTCCAGACCCCATGAGCCCCCCCAGCCCCTGTGGGAGGGATGGGGTCCCAGGCTCTGCCACCACTGATAGTGGGTCCCCAGGGTCCTGCACACAAGTCCTGCCCAAACTCCATGGGTTCAGCTGTCCCTGCTGGTGCCCCAGCTCCTGACCCACTGCCAGCATGGATGGCACGGTGCCATGGGCACAAGTGAGGCACAGGGCACATGAGCTCCTGGCACCCCAGCTGTGTGAACTGCCAGACTGGGGACCCATGGATGTCTGTGCCCACATGGCTGCTGACCAAGCACTGCCACGGTGGCTGCTTTCAGGGCTCAGCCATGGAGCCACTAGCCCCAGGGAGCCCCCAGGAGCCCCTCAGAGCTGGGGGGACAGACTCCATGGGATATTCCCAGAGAGGCTCTGCTGGCCCTGGGCAGGTGCTTGTTGGGGGCTGTCCCTGTGGCTCCCCTGTGGGGAACAGAGCCACTCCACTGTGCCAAGGGCTGTGCCAAGCCCATACCATCTTCCAGTGCCAGGGCAGGGCTGGGCAGCCCCCATGGCCTGGCCATGCCAGGCACTGTGACCAGGGACAGCTTGTCATGCTGAGCCAATGTGGGGTTTATTAGGAAAGAGAAGGAAGGTCCTGCCCAAAACACCATTGGTACCCAGGACTGGCCCTGGCAGAGGGAGGCAGAGGAGGAGGCTGGGAGTGGCTGCCCATGCACCCACCCACCACGGGCTGTCCTCGCCCCATGTGCTCCTCACGCACCACATGGTATGGGTCACCAAGTGTCATAGCCATCACCACCACCATCATCATTGTTGTCATCATCATCGCCACCATCATCATCTCTGTAGTCGTAACTGTCATAGTTGTTGCCATAATTGTCATCATTGCCATCATCGTCGTCATCACCATTGCTGTTGTCATTGTTGTTGCCATCATCATCACTATCCTGGTCACCATCTTCATCGTCATTGCCATCATCACCACCATCATCACCATCCTGGTCACCATCTTCATCATCACCACCATCATCACCATTTTCCTCACCACCGCCATGCTCATTTTTATCATCCTCATCATCATCATTATCATCATCATCATCATCATTTTCCTTGTCATCATCTTCTTCACTGTCACCCTGGTCAGACTCAGGCTTCTCTCCTGCCTCGGGTTTCCCTTCACTCTCTGGTTTCTCCCCCTCAGCTTCCGGCTTCTCCCCCAGCACAGGTTTCTCCCCAGCTTCTGGCTTCCCCCCGGTTTCTGGCTTCCCTTCAGCCTCTGGCTTTGTCACAACCTCTGGCTTTTCACTCGTCTCATTCTTCCCCCCACATGCTGGTTTTTTCCCTGAATTGGGCTTATTCTCAGCGTCCAGCTGCCCAGCCGGGGTGGGTTTGCTCCCTGCCACAGGCTCAGCCCCAGTCACCGGCTCCTTCCCCACGCTGGGTGTTGTGGCAGCCACCGGCTCAGCCCCGGGTGGGCGCTGCTCCTTACCCCCCCGCTCTGTGCCCAACTCCTGCTTCCCATCCGGCGTGATCCTGCCAGGCTGAGCTCCAGGCACCATGCTGGGCTCTTCCCCAGGCAACGTGCTCTTCCCTGCCGGAGGGCATCCGAGCTGCGGCCGCCTGTCAGGGGCTGCTCCAGGGAGCCCTGGAGGGAGCAGAAGGCAGCAGCTTCAGACCTGCGGCGTCATCCCCGCACTGCCCACCCTCAGCTCCCGGCCCCCAGTCCCATTCCCCGGGTCCCCTCCTGGCACACAGCAGAGTCGTGGTGAGGCGAGTGCCCGAGGGGCCCTTGGCACTGGCAGCAGTAGGGGGACCCCTCGCCCTCGGGGTATCCCAGCTGGGAGGGACCATACGGCTCCCCAGGCAGCCCCATCCAGTCCAGCCCATCTCGGACAGGCTGATGCTTCCAGTGATCCCTGCCCTGGTGACTGGTTTGATGGACAAAGCTGCTCCTGAGCATCCCCAGCCTGCACACCAGCACCACTGCTGGCTCCGTCCCCGGCAGGACTTGCACCAAACTAAAATTTAAGCAAGGGCTAAACCTCACAAGGGTTACAGCCCCTCATCAAAAGCTTTCATAAATACGAGGATTAAGACAGACACTGAAACCCTCATCACTGACCATCAGCACTGCTCTGGCTGAGGACGCCCCTGCTCGTGGCAGGGGATCAAACCAGATGTTCTTGAAAGGTCCCTTCCAACCCAAACTGTTCTATTCTATGAATAAAATGGAAAACATTCTTAAAGTCTAGAGAGGCCAGGTGTGCCCAGCCCGTACTTGCCTGCAGTGGGTGCTGCCTGCAGCTCTGCCCACAGGGCAAGGAGCCCCAGCAGGAAGATGCCTCTCGCTGTCATGGTGCTGGCCCCAGTGGCTGGGGCTGAGCCGGGCGGCAATTTAAAGTTCCTCCCAGTCAGTCCGAGTCTGGGAATGGGAGGAAGCAGCTTTCAGGTGACTTGTAGGAACCTCCCACATTTGACTGCAATTCTGTTTTCTGAAGAGCCACTCCATCCACCTTTCTCCACCCACAACCAAGGCAGGAGCAGAATCCATCGGGAAGGACAGGATGGGACTGGGGGAAGGGAGGAGGCCTGGCCAGTCCTGCCACCAGCCCTGTCACTCCCTGGCAGCTCCCACATCCTGAGAGTGCTCTGGGAGCTGCCTGGAGGAGCAGCCTCCAGCCCCATTTCCTTATTACATGGATTTGCAGAAATGGTCCAAGTTATCTGCAGGGAAGGGAAGCACCAGCCCAGGAGCAGGAACGGCACCATCTGCCCTGTCCCACAGAGCACAGCTCTCACTGCACAGGCCTTGTGCTGTCACCATGGTGAACTGCTGGGTTTAAAAAACAGCAAGAATGAATGTCCCTGGCAGAGGGACCACTCCTGCTACTGCAGTGCATGACCCAAAGCTTCCTTTGCCTGTTTCTAAATCAATATCCTGTTTGTTTGCCCCTCTCACCAGCAACTCCCTCCGGCTGCTTCAGTGTCACTGATGTAATTTGCCAGGTTTTGGCATCCAAATGAGTGAGCACAAAGTCTCCTCAGCACATTAACACTGTCCCAGGCCCCCTAGGGCCCTTCTCCTTTATGCCCTCCCAAAATCCCCTGGGCAGCCTCACCTGGATCTGGGAACACAGTGGGAGCTCAATGTGATCCTTCATCCAGCCCAGCCAGGGTGGTGCAGCTTTCTGGGAACCTGCCTTCAAACCCAGGTCCAAACTTCTGGCCTTCACCAGAGACCCCGCTAAGAGTGAATGAAAAATGAAACGCATTGCCCCGTTGCTTCCATTTTCTCTGCATCTGATTTCAGGATAATGATATCATGTGCTTGGGATAACAGATAACCTGAGCACTCACCCACTTAAATTAGGTTATTCTCCAGTCATACAGGAATGCTAGTTAGAATCTGATTTTGCATTTTCCTTCCCTATTTAATTATTTCTTCCTGAATTATACACAAACTGAAGAATTACAGGAGAACTGCTCAGGCCAGGACACACCAGCACCAGGCAAGAATGGGTTGGACTTGCTGGATCAAATGACAACGTTTCAGTCTGCAGCTGTGAGGCAAGTGAAATGAATTGGCTTGAGCTCAACACTGTTTCTACAGTTCTAAGCAAGTTTGTGCCACTTGACACGAGCACTGAAAAGGCAGAATTCCTGCTCTGAAACTTCCCACAAAGTCACGTCCCTGGAGTGATGCCGGGGCAGTGCAAGGGAAGGTGCACAGCTCTGTGCTGCCAGACCTGTGTGGGAAGAGGGCTCACAGCAGAAATGCGCCCTAGGTGCAGGTGGAGGCCTCTTCTCATGGCTGTGACTCAGTTCGGATGCAATTTGTTCCCAAACCACCCGTGTCTGTGGAAGATCCAGGCCCCACACCTGGCAGCTCCACGGCTCAGCCTGACAGCCCGGTGCTTATCGCACGTTGCTGCTGTTAGTCGTGGTCAAGCAGGACACCCCACGGGGCAGCAGCGGTGCCAGCAGAGTCAACTCCCTTCCACGTACCTGGAAAACCATCTGGAATAACTTGCAGGACTGCAGGACTTCTTCCAAGGCCGGGACTGCTGTGGTGGAGACTCTGCCCCTGCCCCTGCACTCGCCCAGGGGCTCTCAGGAGCAACTCCACCGTTCTGGCACGTCTCCTTTGGGCAGCCTGTGATCTTGGCTAACATTTGGGAGGCTCAGGAAGGATAAAGCCTCACAAGCACATCACTGAGATAAATACCTCGAGGGATGAAGCCCTTTGCCCCCCTTCACTGCAGCTCTGCGGGGCCCTGCAAGGGCAGACCCAGCTCTGTCAGATGATCCAGCAGGATGATGAAGCTTTGCCTGTAAGAGTCTTGCTGCCAAAGTGGGATGTAGGTGATCCTTGTCAGATGTTGTTCTGACCTGCTCTTAAAAAGCCACCCTTGTCACTCTGAAGATGGGGAATCCTTCATTAAGAGTTTGTTCCAGGATAAAAGTGTTCTTGTAAATGGGAAGTTTTTCCAAAGGTCTGATCCAAGTCTCACTTGATTCAAACCAACACTAGGACCCCTTGTCCATTCACTGTGAATAAAACCCATCTCCATCCTCTCTCCATCAGGCTGTCACAGGCTGAGCAGAACCTTCACACCTTTCCTGAGTTCCTGCAGCCATCGTTATTTTTCTTCTCCTCTGGGCAATGTCCTTCCTTTGTGGCTAATAATTTGAGGCAAACAAAACAAGCACATACAGAGCCCAGTGCTGATGACAACAAGGCAATGGCAGCACTGATGGTGACTCGGTTGCCCCCACATCCGCAGCTCAGGTTTGTGTAACACCCTGACCTCATCCCGGGCTGGCACAGCTGGGGAGAACAAGGGCTGGGAAGGCAGATGCCAAACACCCTCAGCAGTGTCTGCTTTGGGAAATCCCATTTGGTTTTACCATGGAGTCAACTTGGAATTAACAAGGAAGAACATCACCAACAAAACATGACATGTCCTCTAACCACAGAAAACTTGACAAACCATTATCCAGCTGACCCAACAGAAGAGGTTCTTGTTGACCACAACATGGGGCAAGATGATCTGGAAAGCGATGGACAAGTCAGTTTGACTATTTCCACACACATTAGAGGAGATGAGGAAATGCTGGTTTGGAGAGTTTCCTAAACAATGGCATTCCAGAAAGATTATAGACTTGCAGGCAAAAGTCAACTAGAACTGCAATGCGTTTATTGTTCTGCTTTGTGTGTGGGATATGACACATCAGGGACCACAGAGATGGCGGGAGGACAAACACCCACGTCTCTGCAGCTGCCTCCGGTCTCACGGGCAGGGCCATCGCGTGACCAGCGCCACGGAGACAGGCCCTGGGTGGCACGGGCGGGGACACCGGGGTTTGGGAGAACCGCACAGCCCCGCCACGGCCGCCCTCGGAGCTGCGGGTTCCTTGGGCGCTCCCACCCGGGCCCCCCCCCCCCCCCCG